CAGTTTTTAATATTGTTTCCGTGTTTATTTCTATCAGGATCACACCTGAAATATTTTAACATGGAATAATACTAGTACGTCTGTTACGTATTTAGTTAGCTAATGCAATACTGCCCTCAGTCGGTGATATGTTCGTCAATCCACCACCTCCCATCGATAATAAATGAATTGTTAGAAACAGTTTATACAGAAATACAGCAGAACATAGTTGATAAAATTGTTGAGGGAAAGGATCAATTAGAATCATTCTTTAAAAGTTGTATTTTTTGTCCTGTCTTGTCTTGATTTTTTTCAGGGGGTCTAAAAGTTTCAGATTTTTTTACATGGATATAGTGTAGGATGTTTTATCAAGCATAAGCATAATCATAGAATTTAATTTCTTCACAAAATCTTCCTGCCCCCCAGGATAACCCCTCGGTGTATGACTCCAAATATGCGAATAAAGGAATTCACTTGATCGTTCAAACTAATTTGAAAATACGTAATTTATCATATGAATTTGGCAAATTATAATGAACAACAGAACATTCCCTAATCCTAATCCTAGCTTTTATCATTGTATCAATTATTAGTAACACACTTTCTTTGTCCTCCCACTCTGTCAATATGGACTCCAACAAAGTGATATACATTCTCCTCGTGTCCAGTATTACAATTTGTACTCGTTGATCTGCTCAACAGCCAAAGTCGCCATCTTGTTTACATGAGACCCATATATCTCGCACATGCGCGGCGCGACGACGACCGCCCTTTAAACCAGTTGTAACTCTGTTTATACTTTCATGTTCACACCACACTACATCAAGTGAAAAAGGATACCTAGTTGGACGGATGAACCCCTCAGTGTACGACTCCAAATATACGAATAAAGGAATTCACTTGATCGATCAAACTAATTTGAAAATACGTAATTTATCACATGAATTTGACAAATTATAATGAACACCTGAGCATTCCGTAATCCTTATCCTAGCTTTTATCATTGTATCAATTATCAGTAACACACTTTTTTTGTTCTCTCACTCAATATGGACTCCAACAAAGTGATATACATTCTCCTCGTGTCCAGTGTTACAACGTACATACATATATGTAACACACCATTCACAAAGCCTCACAGATCATTGATTCAGTGGGACAAATGTGTACGGGAAAGATACATTTTGGAGCTCGTCACAGGAAAGATACATGTGGTTCATCGATATAGTCACCAAGACCGGAAGCAGGGGCAACCAATCCCAAGCGGCACACACAGACACTTCAACCACAGTCGCTTGGGGGCTGAAAATCAATAAATACTAATTTAAAAAAAAAATCATCCGCTATACGTATATAAATAAACAAGTTGTGAAACATGGCACCTAGTATAATTGACACCTTGTCGGTTCAAATTTCAATTTCTTACCTTAAAATGCGAAACAAAAAGTTCAGAGGGGATCGGGTGTTACGTTAATAACCGTTGTTCATAATCGCTAACTTTGTTTTATTCAAAACTGCATAAATCCTGTGTTTTCTGATGATATCCGACGACTTCATGAACGAAAATGGCCAGCAGCCAGAATCAAGGGGGATTCGCGCAGAGTTGTGGGTAAATCAAGTGCGCATACTCATTTTCAGCCAATCAGGTGTGCCGTAACAGCGAGTATTTCCTTGATTTACCCAGAACTCTGTGCGTATTATTATATTAGTATTTATTGATTTTCAGCCCCCAAGCAACTGTGACTTCAACTCCACAATCTTTAATGCAATCTACTTCAGTAAAATAAACAAAGGTACAAGAATTAGCATATGCACATATAAACTTTCGAAAGTTGGGTGAATAAAAAACTGTTTCTTTTGCTATAAATTTGCACAGAAACAGCGAGAAATGCCAGAAACATCTCAAACATGAGCATGGCTTTATTGTAGTATTACAGGCACGTTTACTCAGAACGCAACTTGGAATGTTTTTAAATTACGTCACTCAGTCACATGTCTTTGCCTGGAATGCCACGGTGTGTCGCAGATTACCCAGGGTTGGTGTTGAGGGCGCTGCTCAACAAGAACGAGTGTGGCCGAGGTGTGTACATGGATTACCCAGCTACAGCGTTGAGGGCGTGTTATCATAATGAATCGTCGTAATTCAGAAATAGTTGTCCTAATTTGGTCTCATGCCACTAATTAATCAATTTAAATGCCTTGCAAGAACCAATGAAATTTTTTAAATATTTTTTTTCTCAGGTGCGTAATCACCTGTTTGAGGGCGTAATCACCTGTGTCAAAGGTGATACCAACATGTGGTCTTTTGTTTACAACTTAGCGGCTGTGTACCTGTGGGTTTATTCTGTGTGTATTTGGATGTTCTAATCTTGGTGTTTTTCCAGTGATTTCTCTAGGTGCAATCCAAATACAGTAGGTGTGTCTTGTTTACCTGAGATTTGTAAGAGTTTGAGATGGCCAACATGTTAGTTTTTTTCATATGGTTGATTACTGGCATGTTGATTTCCCATTTTTGAGCCATGTTTTCAACTTTCTTCATCATTTTCATATAGCAATCTCGTCATATGTTAACATTGTCGTCTATGGAAATTCAATTAGTGGTATGAGCCCTGAACTGTACAGTGGGACACACATTGACTACAGATCTCAACTCACAGTACAGTGTTATTCAGCAGACAGTTTGAATGTGGAAAAGTTGAGAGGTAGAATTACTATACACTATATCAGCATAGTTACCGCCGCCAGTTACCACAGGGAGCCCAGGAACTATAATCAACTGTACGCAGTCTCTATGAGCGCGGGGGGTGTGTATCGGCTGGTATCTAGTGTAAGAAATAGACAAGGGATGAAGGCTCCAGCCACCTCACATTTTTAAACTCGAGAAAACAGACGAAACGAATGAAAAATAAAATCTATAAAAAATAAATTTCGCCGAAGCTTTACCTATATTTTACCTATATCTGCAGAATACATCAAGAAAACTACACAAATTGACTCCATTTATGAATACTTAACGGTTTGCCCGAACGCATGGCA